AATACATAGATCGCGCGAAAGACTGGGTCGAGTGGACTCTGGAGAAACACCGCGTAGTCAAGAATAGTGTGCTGCCTCTACGAGGCAGCAATTAGATTGTTGTTGTCGTTGTGTGAAATTTAAATTTCTCCTGCGACATTTTGATTGGATACTAAATATAAACTTTGCTGTGGGCGGAAAGCGATCAGGTTAAGTTTTGTGTCAGGCTCTATTTGTAAAATAGAGCCTGATACTCAGGTTAGGCCGAGTTTTAAACGTAAACATTCACAAGTTAGGGTAAAATATTGGTAAATTCAAGACCCTATAGCTAGCCTTTTAGCTCTTCGCGATTCACTGCACGCATATTAATCACGATTCATGGAATGGTATTTCTTCAAATCACGAATCAAGAAAAATAACTAATCATGAGTCACGAAAAACCCTTGCCCCCTTCATATACAGTACGTTTCCCAAATGGGCAACAAGCATTTGGGCAAATATTTGGAAATTGGACAGTTACTCCTAAACTGCTAAAGGTGGAAAAATGCGACCACTTTGTCTTTAAATCAGATATCGTATTCGGTCATTTTTTTGGCCGTCTAGAAACTCGAAGATAGAATTTTGACAAATTAATAGTCATGTAGTTTCTCTTGTGCAAATATTGCGTTGCCGTTAGCATGGAGATTTTGATGCTTGAGCAAACAAGACGTCATTAAAATGCCATCTTTTAATCACTAAATTGTCTAAATGTTTAATAATCTATTCAAATGAAAATCACTGTAAATAAATGTTGAGGTTGCCTAGCAGTACAATCAAAGCAATTGCCAACAGAAATTAGTTTAGACAGACAATATTTTTTCCATTTGCTTTCAAGAATTTGATCCAATATGATTGAAATTTTGGCCGCTGTCCCAACATTGGTGAAGTTACTTTTCTGCTTCGTAAAACACAATTTTATAAGGCTTTCTTTAAGCGTGGGACACTGTGTATCAAATACTATTAAGACAGTAAATCTTAATTCAACACAGATCTGGAAAATTATTCAAATGCATTGTCATTGAAAAATTTAACTCTCTACATTACACCATTATAACTGTGTACTTGAACAACAAAGTATACAGTATATACCTTAGTCCTTACACTTAAAGTTATATGTAAAGTAGGAATGATTTTCTGAGATATATTGAAATTTCGCGAATTTTAGCCAAGAAAGATTTGCTAAGCATCACTTAAAAACGTAATGAAATGTTAAAATACTAAATGTTTAAAATACTAAAAGTTCTAAAAATTCTAAAAATCCCTTTCGACACTCAACAAAATGGCGGATTCTGAAGAGGTCTAACGACAAAACCAGTAAAACGCCAATTAATACAACGAGTGTCGAAAGCGATTTTTAGAATTTTTAGTGTTTTAAACATTTAGTATTTTACAGTAACATTTTAACATTTCATTACGTTTTTAAGTGATGATTTTCTGAGATTTTTCCGTAAAGTATTAAACGGGATACTATGTCTATGTCAATTTTTCAATGACAATGTTCATAATATTCAAACCTCCAGAAATGTATAGTATTTAACCCATTTAGATGAAGGTTTATTAGTATCAGTAGCATGACCAGTTGCCATGGCTAGCTAGACTCTTAGTACACTGTGAAAAACTAAAATATCCTCAACCCAGTCTTGTAGTCACAAAATGTCGAATGTCATTCTGGAGTATGAAAATGAACCTTGGGCTACAATTCCTATTCACCATTGGATGGCTAAGTTTGGAATGCGGTATTTTCACACATTTTATTCGATCACATACACCAGGATAAGAATCGGAAAATTGTCAAAAACAAGTCCTTTCGTGTTTAAATTCTAGAAAGCTATTTGGCCAGTTTCGCTTTTTAGGAAACGATTTCTTGCATTGTCCACATTCAAGTTTAATATTACAGTATCAGAATACAAGTTTATATCACTTTGGCATTCCACTTATTTCAAAAACACTTCGGAGCAGAGCTTGAAAGATCAATTAAATATTATTAGGCTGCCTTGTGAACTGTCGAAATTCTATTTATATTTTTCAGGCAGTTCATCTCTTATTACTGGTAAATATATCAGAACAGTCGCATTTTGTCCAGTACACACCAAAATAGGCATTTTAAATTTTTAATCCAAAAAATCCATAATTTACAAAACTACGCCATTTTACAGCAAATTTAACCTATTAATAGCAAGAAAACTAGATAGTTTTGATTGCCTGAACAATGATTATTTATTTTATGGTAATAAAAATAAAATGTTATTACAAAGCAATTTGTTGACAGACGTCAGGACACTGTGTATAAAGTAACAAACGTCGAAAATTTAATATAAACCGCTAAGTACTGTTTGGCGTTGAAAAACCGTCGATTTCATGTGTTTGTCAATTCTTAAAAGGAGTTTTACCAAACCACAATATAAAAGTGGAATGCTTGGAAGCGTATAAACACGATATCTCAAGTACGAACCAAGATTACCCTGTCCATATTTTCGTTGGCAAAAACACGCAGCTGGCAGTTTCCTCTGATCTGAAAAAGCCTAAGTGAGCTTTTAACGGGCAAAACACAAATGCAGCCGGTAAGGCTTGAAGGAGTTTGTTATAATTGTTTAAATACTGTCAGTTACTCACTTTAAACGTTTTTAAAACCTTGATCTATCATGATCTATTATTCCAATGGTGCACATTTAAAATATGCAACCTTTCTTTTAAGTGGCATAACTGAATTGTCAATTTTGCCAGCATCTCAATACGCACTATTAATTTGTCCGTCTCCATTTGGCTAAACGCAACTCCTTCTGTTAAATATTAAACGGTACCAACCTTGTCAGGACTTGTCCCGCCCAAAAAAACGAACGACGTTTTGTGTATGACTTGCTCCGAGCAAACTTCGGATCGGTCTGCTACTAGCTGCTTTTCGTCGCAAAATATCCTTTGTCGCTAAGCAACGCCAATATGAATATATGGGACACTGATATCAATGACTTGTATAGGCCAGAGCAAAAATGGCGCGGACAAGTGCCAAGTAATGGGAAAAAATTGTTAACAGAATAAAACCTTTTAGTTGGTTGTGTAACTTTATTTCCAGTTCAAAAGGAACTTTGATCTTCGTTAAACGCGATTCAAATTAAATTTGCAGCCACCTGCGGAGTTAAAAAGTCACCAGTCACCCCCTTGGCAACCAACGCGCGTCAAATATTTATGACGGGTTCGCAAATATTTCTGGATCGTTGTTTGATTAGTAAATCCCTGTACATCCAATTTCAGCCATTTATTGGATACGATAAATTTCATTAGGTTTGTTTTGAGAAGCGAATATGCCTATCAATATTTCTGCGCACATTGGCTATCACTAATGGGCTATTCCATTTAATATCCGTACCCCCTGTCGAGGAACCCTGGAATTCTTCAAGGAAAAATAAAGGGTTTTGAGTTTGGAATTCTTCATCAGAGAGGGGTTTTGAGCGTGGAATTGTTCAGGGGTAAAGAGTTTTGAGCTTGGAATTTGGAATTCTTCAGGGTAAAAGGTTTTGAGCTTGGAATTCTTCAAGGGTATAACTATGAACATGTATCCTCAACAGGGGGTGGGGTACGTTAAATGGAATAGCCTAATTTACTGTGAGCCGATCGAATTTACTGTGAGCAGATTGCTGGCCTCCAGCCACCTTGGAACTAAATTGTACATTTAGTTTGTCATCACCATAGGTAGCGTTTTAAATACTGACTAAAACATTCAAACTTTTAATAAAACTGTGGCGAAAATATAAAGTTTAGATGAGTGACGTTGCTGGTGGGCGTAGCAGGTAGCCAGAAATGCATTGTTTATATCGGAATATGTTTTTTATATTTCCGCCATATTTAACAGTTCTATAAAAAGTTAGACTGTTTTAGTTTAGTTTTACTTTCCGCTCAAGAATGGCTATTTTTCCCGCGCGTAATGCAAATATATACCGAAAATTTGCGAAATTCACAGAGCTATATTTTCCGCATTTTGAAACCAAACTTTGCAATTTTACTCATTTTAAGATGCTCTTTTTGGGCGTGATGTTGGATTTCGTTCTTCTTGTCTAGATCAAAATTTCCTCCATAGCTGCAATCACCCATTAATTATTGGGTTTCACTCAGTGAGTTCACTGGTTTCACTAGGGTATTATGCAGTGAATCTGATGGGGGATCAACCTCGCATGTATTGATGTTTATGTTGTACTGGAGTGAGAAAATGATACGAAATTCCATGTATTTGCCACCAAACACAAGGCAAATACATAAAACGAACGATCGACTCACTCTGATAACTGTGTTTTGTTTTAGAGTTGACCCCCCGTCACTGCCGTGACGTCATATGAACCCAAGAATAGAAGGATTTTGTTTTCCGTGCGTGTATCATAGACGTATGCATATAAATGATTAATGGCTGCAAAACGTTTCTATGTTTACAAGTTGAAATTGCCAGTAATTCATTACTGATTTTGTGTTGACATATATTTGATATTTTTATTCGCTTGTAAGGTAAACATTAAAGTTGTGAAAAAATTCATTATATAAGAAAAAATTTAAACACAAATGATAAACCCGTACCGTATAAAACTCGTCTTGTAATTTAATTGCTGGCGTGTTATGGCGTAGAATTTACTGCAGAGCGACATAAGTGTGAGAATATAACGTCATTAGAAAGTGTGGCAAGTGATTAAACTAAAAAGTGCTTTCACTGTCACTAATATGTGTCGAGTGTCTTGTTCTCGAGCTTCCTCAGTAAATTTTGTATTCTCAAAAGTATAAGTAAATAAATTGAATCCTTGCCTTACTTCCTCAGTACAACAGGTACTCAAAAATTTCGTACTTATTGAATATGCCCACAGGTACGTTTGTCCCCCCATCCGTGTTTTATCCCCATCCGTTTTTTATCCCCCCAGGCCCCCCCCCCCCCCCATCTCAGATGATCTCAAAATTTCGTCCATAGCTGGAATCATTCATCGAACGAATTAAATGTGTCTGATGAATAGGCAATTCCAGCTTTTAATTTATGCGTGCAGGGGACGATGGGAAGTAAGGTATCACATTGGCATTGCTGATTATGCTGAAAAATAAAAATGGTGGCCGTGTAAATATGGAGTGATAGCTTATACTTGTAAATATCAGTTGAAATATTTCGGTTGTTTCGGTAGTTTTTATTGAAACTTTTCAGCATAATCAGCATTAGTATTTTTGCACAAGTGAACATAACAAATCCTACAAGTTGATTGGTCAAATTTGACGTATTATAATAGGAGTTACTATCGCAAAGAAAATGCTGCCTCACCCCCGTAGCCGTTATATTCACCCACAGGTGAATATAACAAAACTGAAATTTTCAAAATGGCGGCTAGCCGTTTTGTGGAAGTTACTGATAAAGAAATAAGCGAAATTAAAACAAATTCAGGCCCAAAAACACAAAAGACTTGTGTAAAAATACTAAAACAATTATTCGCCTCAGGCTCGGTGAATATTCACCTCGACTTCGTCTCGGCGAATATCAGTTCCCCGATAATCACCTCGCCTTCGGCGAATAATTGTTAAATATGATACATTACTTCCCATCATCCCCTGCAGGCATAAACTAAAAGCTGGAATTGCCTATTAAATTCGTCCAAGACGTTTTATCCGTTATGTTCAGATATTTCGTGTATCCACACGTCTGTAGCGCGTCTTCGTTTCATACGACGTCTTATCAAATTAAATGCATAAATTACGTTTAAAGTCTGTTTCTGTCTTTCTGATCCCGTAATTAAATTCGACGTATGAAACAGGCCTCAAATTTGCAAAGGTAATTAGAAACATTCAAACGGTTGGTCAGGTCATAGCACATCGAAGGGAAGATGGCTGTGAAACTTATTAGAATTTAACAATATATTATAACTCATTATCTATGTTAGTCAACGTTTATTCATAAATCTGGTCCTTCACCGTCACGTGTGTATTGTATTTTATTGGTTAGTTGGGCAAAAATACAATACACACGTGACGGTGGAGGACCAGATTTATGAATAAACGTTGACTAACATAGATGAGTTATATTGTTATTCTAATAAGTTTCACAGCCATCGATAGGCTATGGTCAGCTAGGTGGATACTAAACATTGCTACATGCCCCTTGACCTGAATCCGAGTAATTGCAAATGTTTGGTAAACCACCCTCCAGGGCCGTAGCAACTGGGGGGGGGCTGCAATCCCCCCCCCCCCAATAATATGCTGTTCTTTTTTCAAAATCATGCAGACCCTGCAAAGAATGAAGATATTACCCATACTTTCCTGCAACTTATCCAATATATAGTTGATTAAATACGCCTTCGCCCATTTAGTACTACTAAATTGTAAATCTCGACATACTAAAACGCTGTTTTCTGACCATCAGAATTCTGTCAAATCTTCCTCAAAGTCCAGGAAATGGCATTTCAGAGACCCTAAATTTAAAAATTTCCTCGGGCCTCGCTTTCAGACCTCCCCCCCCCCTCCCAATCGAAAAGAGCTTCCTACGGCCCTGCCCTTTGCAGCTAACCATCTACACGGATAACTCATAAGTAATGTTACTGTAAGTGTCGACATTATCCAGGGTTCTCCACAGTTGTGAGTGGAACAGGTAAAACAGGTGTTTCAACAGGTATAAGCGTCAAGTCGCACCTACAAACCTCCAGGGGGTCCCATGTTGTTTTTTTTTTTTGGGGGGGGCAAGGGCAGTACTTCTCTAACAAACCCTAGCCTGCGAACAGGCTCACTGGGAGAAAGGTGAGCCTGCACGGAACCATGCGTTTTATTCAATCATCCCTTTTCGCATCTGCTAAACGCTAACCAATCAGCGTCGACTGCGATAAATAAACTGTCAACTGTCAAATTGACGCAAGGCGTGTACATTGTGCAACATGAACCATAATACAAAACATTAGCCGCACAATATATTACTCGGAAAGGCATAGAATTCAAATATTAAATAGATATCAATACACATACAAATATAAAGCCGAATAAAATACTACCTTTGGCTTTGAATGTACAGTAATACTTGTACTATGTGCGACTGAAAGAACAATGTTCTGAATATTTTGAAGCTATTACTAAAATACGGTCAGATACATTGGGATTTGGAATACCGATTACGTTTAAAATTTTACTAACTGTGGTCTAAATAAATGATAAATGAGCATGTATTTATTAATTTCTTCGAAATCACGAGTGTGCCAATAGTAGAAGCCGTATCGACGACGAAATTGTCAGCAGTTAATATACAGCAATAGTACAACGTTTAATGTACGATATATATTTATCTAAATGACATGCCAGCGAGGATCAACAATATAATTATTCGTACATATTTGGGTATCTTTTGTATGCCTTCGCTTTCTGACTTGCTCACTAATGAGAATAATCCGTGAAGCCACGACGACCTCAAAATGTACTATACTATAGTCTGATGTCAATCCGAAAACGAAGTTCAGAATACTGTTATAGTTTCGTATATTGGATTTAAGCGATAGATTCAAGTCATTTATGATAGACTTTTTTGCTGTGATGCTTTGCTATTGCTTTTGGTCTCCACTTCTAGTTTTATTTGTTCGATAGTCCTATAATATATAATATTAAAATGAATAAAGTTCAAATTCTTCAAAATGCTGTTGTTGACATTTGCTATTTTTAGTAATTTGTCAACGAGTGTAAGCCAATCAGAAGCCTGCGTTTCTATACGAACGCCACTACCAAGAAAACCTATCATCCATGCAGGCCCTCTATTCTTCGCGCCGCCCGCAACCCAGGGCCTGTTCGCAGGCTAACAAACCCCAATGAGGAAAAAATTTTCCGGACGACAACATTTTAAATCTCTCTTTCCCGATTTTCGTAGCACTTTTTCCGATGAACATGGCAATATTTGCATAACGGGACTGAATCGTCGAGCTGGCTACGCCACTGTTGATTGATTATAGGATTTTTGCACACCGTATTACTAATTATTTCTTAACAAACGTACACAATCTCTAGGCTTCTCCAGGCGGTAATCAGTGCTCGTGGAAACGGTAAATTTTACCGGTTACCGCCTGATAAGGAGAACCCTGCATTATCTAGCAAAGATATTTATTGCATAAAAATAGTGCGTGTTTAACATACTGTATGTACTAAATCCAAACTAGCATGAACCAAGAGGCAATATATGTAGTACATGTGCCGTAAAACTTAACGTTTACATTGTGGTGAAAGTTACAACTAGACAGACAGCTTAT